AAGCAATTTCGATCGATCGAAGGAATGTTGGATCGATCGAATATGCTGAGATCTTTTGGATAAGGCCAATTGCTTGGATCCATCTTGAAATGTCCAGATCGATGCTGCTCTGATCGATCGAAGGAATGTTGAGATCGATCGAATTTGCTGATTTCCACACTTTGCTTCATTTTGCTTCCACTTTGCTCCTTTCTTCCATTCAACATGGGATTGCTTCTTTTAAGCTCTTATTTGGCTGAATTAATTTATTTTTGGGATAAGCACCTGAAAAGGGTAATAACATGAAATTAGTTTAAGACGGGAAAATAAGATAGATAAAGGTCCTAGAATACCTAAGCTTAAGAAGTTTAATTGCGCACTTTTCAGCGCTCATCAGGAGGAGAGTGAGAGAGATAGAGTGCCGAGAGAGAGAGGAATTGAGAGGCCAAAATGGCCTCTTGGCCATCCAAAATACATTAGTGGTGGGTCCACCACTAAAATCCCACCTTTGACTTTTCTTTTCTTTTCTTTTTCCACCACACACACACAAATACATATAAACTATACAATACCACATAAAATACTTTAAATAAAATCAATGAAATGCAAATGGAACCAATCGATACCCCCGTACGCGACGATTCCGGTGGCGGGTCCCACACGGGATCGTCCGGCTCGAAAAATGAAAAATATCGAAATGGCAACCGTTGCATTTTCAAGAGTTCTAAATTCAATGGAATGTCCCAACCAACTCTCGGACACACCCGGCACACCCCACGGTGTCCGATACGTAAAACGTGAAAAGACGAAAATGCCCTTGCAAAAAAAAAATCCAGAAAATGGAAAACGGTGAAATATGGAAACATTACAGTAGTATACCATGAACACTTAAACTTCTTCAAATCCGCATCCGATATTCAAGCTTGAAATTATGAATCGGAAAATTACAACTAGATCGGACTTGTTTTGACAACGAAATTAGCCAATATACAATATATATTTTTTTCACAATCTCCCCAAAATATATATTTCACATATGTATAGTCTTTAAAAATTCATGCATGACTCAGACGAAAATCAGTATTTCAAAACAGAGTTAACAATAACAGATTTTCTTTTTCCCTTTAAATTCATGCATGATTCAAACGAAAATAGTATTTTGCCTCTAATTTCAGTTTTCTTAGTTGTGTTCTGTCAAGCTCAATCCGTGGGAACCGAACCGAGCTAGTCTATTATTTCACGGATCGGTTTGGTTCGGATTGATAGTCCACACAGATCGATTTGGTTTCAAATTTAACCAATCCGTGAGGACCTGATTGGTTTGAATTTTAGCCAAAACCGAACCGATAAGTGATCAGCCTTAGTTTAGGAGTAGGTGAGTGATGAACAAGTAACCTATAAATACTAATATAGTAGGTGTACTCAGGGGCGGAGCCAGGAATTCGAGGGCATAATAGACATGAAAAAGAATCTAACCAAGCAAGACAATGTAAATGAATGTAAGAAAAAAGGATGTCATGAGATGACCATTAAGAAAGGTAAGGCTACGTCAATGAAAGAGCTAGGAAAAAAAAAAACGTGCATTCCTATCCGAGTCTAATGTTTGGCATTACACTGATGATGGCAATGGTGGAGATGTTCTTTAGGGTGTTCTCGTTAGGTGTTTTGAGAACAAATGAAGCTAACGAAATAGAAAGGAATCGAGGAGAGAACTATATACGCTATATCGATGGTGTTCTTATGCTTTAACAGAGAGACTTTCGTGCTCTACGACAAAGGGAAAATCTCCCCTTTTTTAGTTGATTGCACTAGCCTAGCATCTTTTTCTTTTCTTGAATAACAGTTGATCTTTGCCTTGGAATAAATGGAAGAAAACGGATTGATATTGGTGCGATTTGATATATTTTGAGAGATCAATCCTGAACCTACTTGGATCATTCCATTTTCCGGTATACAAAAGGGGAATTCACTAAGTCGATTCTTAGGAAAATTGCAAATCAAACCATTCATATTAGCTTGAGTATGTTATAGGGATGGCAGAGGCGTTGGGAGTACCTATTAAGCAGGTCAGCGGTAGGCTTTATCTCCTTTATCTTCATTATTTGTGCGTTCGTTTCTCATGTCATAACTTTGAAATGCTGCAACCAATTTTGAATGTAGGGAATAGAGGTTTAGATAGGAAAAAAATTTTAAGGGAAACAAATTATTAAAAAGAAGAAGAAAAAAAATAATAAAAATATGGGAGAACTATAAAGGGGAAAAAAAATCTAATTAAAGAAAGGGAATGCAAATTTATTTGGAGAGAATAAAAAAATTTGAAGAAAAAATAGAGTAAAAAAAAAAAATGAATGAAAGAATTAGAAATATTTTTTGGATAAATCTAATTTTAGGGGGGGGGGGGGGCATAATGTAAATTTATATACATCTATAGCTATAAATAATTTTTTTTAATGGGCCAGCATGGGTAGGGGGCAGCTTCCTCTAAGCACATGCTGGGTCCACCCGTGGGTGTAATCATATATGATAATTTATAGTATGCAAGAAACCTAGGTGGTAGGTAAAGAGGTAAACTTGTATTCTAACAACCCCCTTCAAATTCAAGGTGAGTATGAACCTAACTTGAGATTGAAGGAAAGATCATGAAAGTTGATGAAAATTTGGTGGAGATGGGTTTTCATCTATGATGAAAATGGAGGCACGATTAACAGCTGACGAGGTAAGTGACGCGGCACCACTGCTGGGAGAGCCTAACATGGCAACTGTCGTGGCAGGTGACACACTACTGCTGGCACCGTTATTGATGTGTCTTGGAGGCTGATTGGGCAGCCAAATAAGGCTTTTGTTGATTATGGACTTGAGACTAAAGGTTGAGATGCAGAAGCATAAGTTTGAAGGTTGATCGCCGCTGAGAATGGGGCTGATGGTGCTATCCCCGGCGGTAATTATAATAAACTGATAGATTATTTACCAAAGATCGAAAGTCTCTGATACTATGTTAGAAATAGAGAGAAAGAATGTATTGAAATGAGATGAAAATTACATAAAGGTACTAAATATAGGAGAAGGTTTGGGGATAAGTGAGTGATGAACAAGTAACCTATAAATACTAGTAAGGTAGGTGTAATCATATATGATAATTTGTAATATATAAGAAACTTAGGTGCTAAGAAAAAAGGTAAACTTTTAATCTAACAATTTGGACTATACTTAGTCACTTAGCATGCTGAGAATAAGTATCCCAACTAATAAATATAGTATCTGATCAAATGATGAATTCTTATTTTCTATTATTAAAGAAAATGAAAAGTCTTTATTATACAAGGTACTATATAATAGTAGGTTGTCCGGTATTAAAAAATTTTCCTTTTGTCTAATGTATTGTGTTTCTTGGGCATCAAAACAATACAATGTTGTTTTGAATATTTTGGATTTTTTTAAAGGCATGTTGTGGAGTGAAAAAACGAGAAAAAAAACACATAAAGGCATGTTTTTTTGGTACATTGAATAGTTTTTTTTTTTTTTTTTTTGGTAAAGTACAGCCACATCCCTTGAGTTTTGGCAAAAGGACACTCAGAGAAAACTTACCTGTTTTTTGGACAAAAAAACCCCCTGAAGGTTCAAAAATGGACAAAGACACCCCTTTACATAAAAAATTAACCAAATTACCCTTTGACCGTTTAGGAGACTTTTTGAACTTTACAATTTAATATATTGGACCAATCTACCCTCATGAATAATTTATGCATAAAAAAAAGTAAAAAAAAAAAACTTTATATTGTTCACTTTTTTTTTTTTTTTTTACTTCATAAATGTCCCAACTTCTTAAAAATGTAGACGTCTAAAATGATTTTTTGATTTAATACATATATTTCAAATAATTATATTTTGTTATTAATTCTTTTCTTTTTCTTTTTTATTTTTAAATTAAGATGTTTAATTCTTTCATCTAAAAAAATTAAACTAATCTTTTTTCCTTAAAAATAAAAAATATGGTATTAGTATAACTTTATGCATCTTAAATTATATATCAAATATTATACATTTCCCAATATAAAAGAAAATAGGTACTAGTATAACTTTATGCATGCCTTTGTTTTTTTTTTTTTTCCCCCTTTGTTTTATTATTATTATTATTATTTTCCTTTTTATATTGGGAAATGCATAATATTTGATATATAATTTAAGATGCATAAAATTATACTGGTACCATATTTTTTATTTTTAAGGAAAAGAGATTGGTTTAATTTTTTTAGATGAAAGAATTAAGCATCTTAATTTAAAAATAAAAAAGAAAAAGAAAAGAAGTAATAACAAAATATAATTTATTTGAAATATATGTATTGGATCAAAAAATCATTTTAGACGTCTACATCTTAAAGAAGTTGGGACATTTATAAAGTAAATAACAAATAAATAAATAAACAATATAAAGTTTTTTTTTTTTTTTGGTTACTTTTTTTTATGCAAAAATTGTTCATGAGGGTAAGTTTGTCTAATTTATTAAATTGTAAAGTTAAAAAAGTCCTAAACTATCAAAGGGTAATTTGGTAAATTTATCATGTAAAGGGGGTGTTTTTGTTCATTTTTGAACATTCATAGGTGTCTTTGTCCAAAAAATAGGTAACTTTCAATAGAGTATTCTTTTGTCAAACCTCAATAATGTGACTGTACTTTACCCCTTTTTTTTTTCTCTTTTTTTTTTTTTACTACGTTGAATAGTAATTGAACTGTCCTTGTACAAAATGGTTTTCCAATTGATGTTTTTAATGCAAGACATGAAGATGATAAACTTGATACTCACGTGGGTCACAGTGGACCTAAACATACGATCTGGTCCGATCATTATAATCACTTGCTGGTCAAAGCCCAACCATTATGGGCCTCAGCCTTTAATATTCGGTCCATCATAATCAATAAATTCGGTCTCAAATTTAGTTGAGCCCTAAAAGGCTAAACCTAACTATCTTCTTCAACCCACGGTCAAGCACTCACAAGTCCACACCAAATCACCAATATATATATATATATATACGTACACACACAGTAGCTCACCCACTGATTCGTTACCACCCTCTTTTCTCTTCTGGGGTGGAAAGGAGAACTGGACACACCCTCCTGTTTCTCGTTTTTCTTCCCCAAAAATCAATCTCTCTCACACACAGATTCCTCAATCATCTATCGAATATCTTATATACCAATATTCTCAGAACAGTTCATTCTCAGGCCTACTTTTTTTATTCTCTTCACGAGATTGGATCTTTTCATCAAATTCTCAAGTATCCAATTGCCAAAAATGGAGCTTTCGATTACCCATTTGGCCAAAATCGAATCTTTTGCTCCTTCAACAATCCCAAATTGCTTGAAACCATGAAAAGATGAATTTGGGTATGCTTTAAACCCTACCCTACAAGGAGCTTATTATTATTTTTTTCTTCACAAAGTTAGGATTAATGGGTAGAAGAGAAATGCCAGTTTCGGAGGGTAAAAGAGATGGGTTTTTCTCTGGTTCTGAGTTGGGGTTTCAATGGAGTCTCCAAGAGGGTTCTTTTCACCCTGGAGGGTTATTTGCTAGTGTTAATAAAGTGGGCAATATGGGCTTTGGCATTTCGCCAAATTCACCAAATTCCAGGGACAATAATCATGGGCTGAAGCTACCTTACACTGATTTATATGTAAAGTATGTGTCTTCACCTGAAGGTTTTCGGATTGTTGGTGTTCCGGAGGCAAATACGGAAGAAGAGACTTTGAAGAAGAAAAGGGGTGGCCTTAAATTTAAGGTTAAGGTTAAGAATCATTCATTGAGGAGGTTGATAAGTGGTGCAGTTGCTGGGGCAGTGTCGCGGACAGCAGTTGCCCCATTGGAGACTATTAGGACACATTTGATGGTTGGAAGTAGTGGGCATTCTACTACTGAAGTGTTCCATGACATTATGAAGACTGATGGATGGAAAGGCTTGTTTAGGGGAAATTTTGTTAATGTGATTCGGGTGGCGCCAAGCAAAGCTATAGAGGTAAAGGTTAAATCTTGCTTTTGTAGTATTCATTGCTTACTTATTTGGGTTTTGTTTATAGCCTATTTGAGATGTTGTGCTTGATTGATTGCTTTGTATAAGCATTGATTTGTTGGTTTATGAAACTGCATTCACTTCGAGTTTGTTTTATCTAAGCATTGTTTTGTTTGTAATTGGCTATTCTTGCTTTAAATCCAGAAATTATCAGTCTTTATTTTATTTTATTATTATTATTTTTAATGCATTGCAATAAGAGACTTGAGGGTCAAATGCTGCTTAACTTTTGGTCCATAACTTTTTCTTTGTTGTAGGTTCAGTTCCATTTTCTTTATGTGACTGGTCTTTATTTGCTGGTACAATTTTGTGTTTTGTTACTTTGGTTGATTGTGTTAGCTTCAGGCTATTGAAATGCATTGCTTGTCCATATATATGTTGGTAGATGATCGATTGCCTGTTGATAAATTTTTTGGCTTAGAATTCTTTGATGGTATTGTAATAGAATATATGGATGTTGATACAAAGGAGAATTAAAATCTCATTTTGTTTTTGAGACTCTTTGGCCACACTTATTATTTGCATGCCTCCTTCTTTACAGTGTGGTACATGAACTTTCAACTTCACCATTCCCTACTGATAGTTGCCCTCTAATAATGAAGATACGGCACCTGAAAAATTGTATTCCCATTATAGATTGTTTGGAAATGTAAAGGCATCGATAACTTAATGCATGCTATATGTTATTAATTCATTTCTACTTCTTTTCAAGCTTGCTTTTTTAGGTATATTTTATCTTAGTGTGAATGATTATAGCAAGGAAGAGAGATAGCGAAGTTGAATATTGCTTTCCGTACTGAAGGATAAGATGTAAACTCTTTATTTAAGGAGTCATTGCGTCTGTCTGAACTTTGAACCCATGATTTAATTTTATTTCTCTACATTTTCCAGCTCCAAAGACCTTTAAATGTGCTCAACACCAAGTAATCACATACTATGATTGCCTCTTTTAAAGAAGCTAAATGAGACCAAAAAACTATTTTTTCCCTTTATAGTATGAATCCACCCCAAGAATGAGATTTAAAAGGTGCAATAAACTCGTCCTATTAGAGCACAAGTTGAGCATGTTGTTTCTACGCTTCGCAAGAATTAGGCTATCTTCCTTTTCCTTCATTTTGAAATACTTTAAACATGCTTTTATTTGTGTGATGCAAAATGTAACAATGTCTTTTGAGTCATTTCAGAATGCAGGATGTAGCATCCTAGATGTTTTTCTTATATTCCTGTTGACAATGTAATTTTTTTTGAAATGGAATTGAAAGCTCATAAGAATCTAATATGTTGAGGAGCAAAGGAGGTGCACAAGGTCTTGGCACATCAGCAGAATATTATAAAATTAAAGTTAGAAGCATTGTGTTCTTTAAAAGAGTGTGTGTGTGTGTGCGCGCGCGCGCACGCGTGTGGTGGATGGGCGGGGAGACTGCCTTTGAAACTAGCTAATACAGTTGAATTTCTAACTTGACGATCTAGTAAGCCTATTTTAAATCATTTCTGGGATAACAGTGTGCCGTATAGCTATTTCATTTTGCATAGCAAAGTAAAATCAACTTCAATAATGTTTTCCGGGCAAAACAAATGTCTATTTCCATGTATTAGCAGTTTGAACGGTGTGAACTAATATTGTATATCTGAAATGCCCATGCATTTTTTATGTATCACTTTATTCCAAAAGCAACAATTTCATATCTAGATCACCTACATTATCGACTCCTGTTAGGTTGGAAAGTAAGACATTTGGACATAAATATCATTCATCTAGGCTAATTGATCTTTTCATTATTGCTAGTAAAGATAGTATGTGTTAAGAAAACATATAAGAGAGGAAAGAAGTTAGTCAACCTGAGGCTATGGAACTTAATTCAACCCAACTACGAGTTTTTCCAACTATTTTTAGTCTAGGATACATGAATCTTATTCTGTCACTCTGCTTTATCAATTTATCTGATGCAATGGAATATATTCAAGGTTGGGTTCTTCTTGCCCAAGTAGTACCCAAAATGAAAAATCCTCAGGTTAACGAATGGAATTTCTACAACTCCTGAACTCGTACAAATTCCTCAGGTTAAATGGTGGATTCATCCCAATCCTTAAACTCCTTTCTACTTACTCAAACATACCATATTTTTTTCTTGAGAAATTTGTCATGAGAGCATCAGTTGGTTATTCCAGGCCTATAACAACATTTATGGATTTGATTGCTATTTAGCTTAAATTTTCCCTGCTCTCATCATCTAAATAGATTTTTAATATTTATTAGTATTTCACTTCAAAAGGAAACAGATGGAACTAAGACTTGATTTACATTTTGGCCGGGGACCTTTTGAAAAGTATGACACTTGTGTGAATGAATTATTACTTACCCAACTTTGTGAAACAGACAAGCTCATAAAATTTCAGCATTCCCTACTAATACTCATCCTGCAATTACTGGTCTTTTAGGTTATTATTTCCCTGAGCTTTCTTGCTGTAAACCCTAATTTGAGGTAGGCATCCTAATTCTTCATCTCAAACCTCTGAGGTTGGCAGACCGCTGAAAGGAATTGTTCAAGGTTCTAATATGAAATTCTGTAAGTTCTACTGTTCTACTCCTTGTTTTCCAAATGTCTGGCTGTTAACGCACACCAGAATCAATTCCAAACTTTTGGCTACTAACCCACATCAAAAATTACTTACTATAAAATATGCAAAACTGACAGTTCTCTTGGAAAGTACATGAGTGCATTATATAAAAAATCTTCAACCATCTTGGTAAAAATTAGAGATCGAAATTAGATCATATCATACATTAAATATTTAGATGGGAAAAATAATGAATTATGAAAGAAGACTTTAGATTTTTTACTTCTAAGAGAATGAATCTCAGAATCGCAGAACGCTTTTGTTGGTGGACGGCAGATTTTGGATATTGTTCTTATTGCTGGGGAATGTGTTGACTCTAGATTAAGAAGTGGGGTTCCTGGTGTTTTGTGTAAGCTTGATATCGAGAAAGCTTATGATCATGTTAATTGGAAGTTTGTTTTGTATCTTCTTCGGAGGATGGGATTTGGTGATAGATGGATAAAATGGATTGACCCTTGTATCTGATCAGTTATGTTTTCTGTTCTTGTGAATGGCTCTCCTGCGGGTTTTTTTGCTAGCTCACGTGGTCTGCGACAAGGTGATCCATTATCTTCTTTTCTTTTTCTCATCGTTATGGAAGGTATGACTAGATTAATGAGAAAAGCGAAAGATTTGGGTTACATTAGGGGGTTCAGAGTTGGCAGAGATGTTGATCATCAGATCCAGATTTCCCATCTTTTATTTGCTGATGATACTTTGGTATTTTGTGATGCTGATATTTCTCAACTCAGATATCTGAGATGCACTCTTGCTTGCTTCCAAGCAGTTTCTGGGCTTAAGATTAATGTCGGAAAGAGTGTGCTTGTTCCAGTGGGGGATGTTCTAGATATTTCCTCCTTAGCTGCTGTTTTAGCCTGCGGAGTTGGTTCTTTTCCTCTTCCTTATTTAGGATTGCCTTTGGGAGTTTCTTCTACTCTGGTTGGGAATTGGGATTCATTGATTAATAGATATGAGAAAAGATTAGCAGGATGGAAAAAACAGTATCTATCTAAGAGTGGGAAAGTCACACTTATAAAGAGTACTCTTTCATCCCTTCCTACCTATTTTTTATCTTTGTTTCAAATTCCATGTTCTGTTGCTGATAGAATTGAAAAAATTCAGAGGGATTTTCTGTGGGGTGGAAGGGGAGAGGAGTTTAAGTATCATCTTGTTAATTGGGATCAAGTTTGCCAACCATTGAGATTCGGAGGGTTAGGCATTCGAAAAATTGTTCCTTTTAATCGTGCTCTCTTAGGAAAGTGGTTATGGCGATTTGGAAGGGAACGACATCGTCAATGGAGAAGAGTTGTCTCGTGTCGTTTTGGTGAGGGGAGTGGGGGTTGGTCATCTCTTCCAGTCACTATTACGGGAGGCGTTGGTTTGTGGAAATTTATTCGGAAGGGATGGGATGTCTTCTCTACTCTTATTAGATTCAAAGTTCGTAATGGCAGGCATGTTTGTTTTTGGGAGGATCTTTGGTGTGGCGACCAGTTGCTTTCACACTCATTTCCTAGGCTTTATAGCATTGCAACTAATAAGCATGTTTTCGTGATTGATTGTTATCATCTTGATAATAATGGAGTTACGTGGGATGTGCGGTTTAGGCAGTCTTTTCAGGATTGGGAAATGGAGGAAGTCTCTGCTTTTTTGGATATTTTGTATAGGCAGAAGGATATTGGCAGAGGGTGTGATGATATTTTGTGGGTTCCTTTGGCTCATGGTCGGTATGATGTCCGCTCTATGTTTATTCATTTATCCAATTTCATTGGTTCCGAGTTTCCTTGGAAGTCCGTGTGGTGCTTTAAAGCCCCTCTTCGAATCGCGTTCTTCGTTTGGACAGCTACATTGGGGAAGATTTTGACTTTGGACAATTTGAGAAAGAGAGGCAACATCATTGTTAATTGGTGTTGTTTATGCAAAGATGATAGTGAATCCGTGGATCACATTCTTTTGCATTGTCCTGTGGCGTTTGGTTGTTGGAGTTTTATTTTCAGCATATTCGGCATTTTTTGGGTAATGCCTAAGCACTCCTCTCAATTGATTAACGCTTGGAAAAGCTGTCCTGTTAAGAAACAAGCTCGTGCTTATTGGAACATTGTTCCTCATTGTGTCTGGTGGTGTTTGTGGCGTAAGAGAAATAACAGATCCTTTGAAGGAAAAGAATCGTCCTTAGCTAATTTAAAAATTCATATTCTTCGTTCTTTATTCTTTTATGTTAAAGGAAGTACATGCTCCTCGATTGATGATTTCTTTGATCTCTTGGATTCTATTGGTCCTTAGATCTTTTCTCTTGTATTAGGGATGCGTTCCCCTTTTGAACGTTTTTCTAATAAATTTTTACTTATCAA